CCCAAAATATATACAAAAATATATATATATATAATTTATTTTGTAAATGTTATCGACAATTCGATCGATCAAACTTGTATGAGATAATCTATAATTATTATCGTGTACCCCCCCCTCTGTTATATAAATGAAAGAATGAAAAAAAAAAAGAAGAATATTTCATAATAATATAACATAATAAAACGAGCGAGGACACTTTCCGATAATACTTTCCTTCTCCTTTTACATACATACAAATCGGAAAATTGATATGCTCTCTGCATACCCAGTGTCTCTATATATATATATTCATCACTCTCTCTTTCTTTCTTTTTCTTACATTTTCATTGTGTGTATTTGTTTATCAAGGAACGTTCGTAGAATGTAGCCTTGAAACAACGCGATTATTGCAACAATGCTGACCATAGCGTATATATCATCGATGACACGACATTGCAATCATTTTTGTTGCTTTATCTTTTTAATTTTCATTTCTCGTGCCACTTTCTCGTATATATAGTTTGCTTATAAATAATAATAATAATAATAATATAATTCCTTGACCGCTCTTCTTCTTATTTTTCATCTTCTCGATGATAAACAAAAATTCTATCAAAGTTTTATCAAAGAAATAATTATGATTTTTCTTTTAAAAGAAAGTTGAAGAAAAGAGAGAGAGAGAGATAGAGATAGAAATAGATAGAAAAAGATTATTTCGAAAGAAACAATTCAGTCTACTGCAACAGCATTTCCAATTGCATTAGGTATGCGCATTAATTCTTTCCTAACGAAAAGCCAATGGTCTAACGGAACGAATCTTTCGATGTACAAGAAAAACTAAACAAAAATTAACAAGAAAACTATATATATATATATATATATATAGTATATACAATATACTAACTACTAAATATTACAATATACTAAAAATTAACAAGAAAACTATATATATATATTGTTAATAACTTACCGGATTTATTATCCATGAGATCCCTATAGCCATGAATTAAATCTGCCACGATATTCGTCATCTTGATATAAATCTGAAATAATAATTGAGAAATATCTTTTAATTATAATGTAATTATAGATTCAAATTTTAGACAATTTGTTTTTTTTTTTTCCTATATAATTTTCTGAGAACGATTAAAATATTTATTATGTA